GACCTCAAGGAGTACCTCTCGGACGACCTTAAAGGCGACCTCAAGGACGACGTCTAGGACAACCTCAAGGACGACGTCTAGGACGACCTCAAGGAGTACCTCTCGGACGACCTCAAGGACGACGTCTAGGACAACCTCAAGGACGACTTCTAGGACGACCTCAAGGAGTACCTCTCGGACGACCTCAAGGACGACGTCTAGGACAACCTCAAGGGCGACGTCTAGGACGACCTCAAGGAGTACCTCTCGGACGACCTTAAAGGCGACCTCAAGGACGACGTCTAGGACAACCTCAAGGACGACGTCTAGGACGACCTCAAGGAGTACCTCTCAAACGACCTTAAAGGCGACCTCAAGGACGACGTCTAGGACAACCTCAAGGACGACTTCTAGGACGACCTCAAGGAGTACCTCTCGGACGACCTTAAAGGCGACCTCAAGGACGATGTCTAGGACAACCTCAAGGACGACTTCTAGGACGACCTCAAGGAGTACCTTTCGGACGACCTTAAAGGCGACCTCAAGGACAACGTCTAGGACAACCTCAAGGACGACTTCTAGGACGACCTCAAGGAGTACCTCTCGGACGACCTTAAAGGCGACCTCAAGGACGACGTCTAGGACAACCTCAAGGACGACTTCTAGGACGACCTCAAGGAGTACCTCTCGGACGACCTTAAAGGCGACCTCAAGGACGACGTCTAGGACAACCTCAAGGACGACTTCTAGGACGACCTCAAGGAGTACCTCTCGGACAACATTAAAGGCGACGTCAAGGACGACGTCTAGGACAACCTCAAGGACGACTTCTAGGACGACCTCAAGGAGTACCTCGGACGACCCTAAAGGCGACCTCAATGACGACGTCTAGGACAACCTCAAGGACGACTTCTAGGACGACCTCAAGGAGTACCTCTCGGACGACCTTCAAGGCGACCTCAAGGACGACGTCAAGGACAACCTCAAGGACTTTTAGGACGACCTCAAGGAGTACCTCTCGGACGACCTTAAAGGCGACCTCAAGGACGACGTCTAGGACAACCTCAAGGACGACTTCTAGGACGACCTCAAGGAGTACCTCTCGGACGACCTTAAAGGCGACCTCAAGGACGACGTCTAGGACAACCTCAAGGACAACTTCTAGGACGACCTCAAGGAGTACCTCTCGGACAACCTTAAAAACGACCTCAAGGACGACGTCTAGGACAACCTTAAGGACGACTTCTAGGACGACCTCAAGGAGTATCTCTCGGACGACCTTAAAGGCGACCTCAAGGACGACGTCTAGGACAACCTCAAGGACGACTTCTAGGACGACCTCAAGGAGTACCTCTCGGACGACCTTAAAGGCGACCTCAAGGACGACGTCTAGGACAACCTCAAGGACGACTTCTAGGACGACCTCAAGGAGTACCTCTCGGACGACCTTAAAGGCGACCTCAAGGACGACGTCTAGGACAATTTCAAGGACGACTTCTAGGACGACCTCAAGGAGTACCTTTCGGACGACCTTAAAGGCGACCTCAAGGACGACGTCTAGGACAATCTTAAGGACGACGTCTAGGACGACCTCAAGGAGTACCTCTCGGACGACCTTAAAGGCGACCTCAAGGACGACGTCTAGGACAACCTCAAGGACGACTTCTAGGACGACCTCAAGGAGTACCTCTCGGACGACCTTAAAGGCGACCTCAAGGACGACGTCTAGGACAACCTCAAGGACGACGTCTAGGACGACCTCAAGGAGTACCTCTCGGACGACCTTAAAGGCGACCTCAAAAACGACGTCTAGGACAACCTCAAGGACGACTTCTAGGACGACCTCAAGGAGTACCTCTCGGACGACCTTAAAGGCGACCTCAAGGGCGACGTCTAGGACAACCTCAAGGACGACTTCTAGGACGACCTCAAGGAGTACCTCTCGGACAACCTTAAAGGCGACCTCAAGGACGACATCTAGGACAACCTCAAGGACGACTTCTAGGACGACCTCAAGGAGTACCTCTCGGACGACCTTAAAGGCGACCTCAAGGACGACGTCTAGGACAACCTCAAGGACGACGTCTAGGACGACCTCAAGGAGTACCTCTCGGACGACCTTAAAGGCGACCTCAAAGACGACGTCTAGGACAACCTCAAGGACGACTTCTAGGACGACCTCAAGGAGTACCTCTCGGACGACCTTAAAGGCGACCTCAAGGACGACGTCTAGGACAACCTCAAGGACGACTTCTAGGACGACCTCAAGGAGTACCTCTCGGACGACCTTAAAGGCGACCTCAAGGACGACGTCTAGGACAACCTCAAGGACGACTTCTAGGACGACCTCAAGGAGTACCTCTCGGACGACCTTAAAGGGCAACTCCACTCAATTTTGAAAATTTTGAGTTAGTGGATGATGTTACCTTGCAAAGCACTCCTAAACGACTCTGTATACCCTTTTCCCCGAAAAGTAAATTAATTTCCGAGTAATCTTGAAAGAAGCAAAATCGCAAAACGAAACCGAAACTTCGGCAAGGATGGGCAACACTATCGTCAGCGTCTACGGTCGACGTCGAGAGCATGCACACACCACGTGGGATAGAAAGGGTCACGTGGCCTTCCGCACGGACAGGCGCTGCACACGCGTCGTCTGCATCGCATCGGCTGCACAGGACGGCTCCCGCTTCATTTCCGTTGTGAACCGTAACACACAACGAGGTAAGTTCTTGCCAAGGTATATTTTGTACGCAATTGTAGATGCAAGCTGGGCCTGTAGCCGCCGTCATATCTTATTTTATGCGGGGAAGCCAATGCAATCACAAGCTTGTCAACGCTACGTTCTCGTGCACGCTGCACGCGCTTGCACGCTGGGAGAGCTGCATTTCTAACCTGAACGGGCCTGAGTAAGGACTGTTGCAACGAAGTCAGCATGTGTGGCTTTTGTTCGTTGTTCTAATAACTTGTGTGGTGCGACCGTTCGTTGTTCTAAATTCCGATTACGTAGTTCCAATAGCCCCCGTGTATATGAACCCATGCAACTCTCCGATAGAAACGACTGAGTTGTTGCGTATGAGCGACTGCCAGTCTGTCAGGAGACAGTGAACGTACGCACCGTGCATCGTGTTAACATTGCCCCGCGAGAAAGATACATCTCGAAAGCCCGCGATCGCGTAGTGAAAACGTGTTTTGGTTGCATGAGCAATCGCTCAACACTTGTCTATGCCAAAGCGATGTGCTGGAGTAATATTTGATTGCATATGTTGCCGACGTAAAATCGCGTTAGCCACTCAATTTCCTGGCTGTCGAGATCTGAACATGATGGAGCCACCGCTGAGCAGTCTGCTGTCGGGGAAGCTGTGCCGCGTGCGAAGATCGACGGCACGGCGTCCGGCTTCAGCTTCGCGTACTTCGTCGAGAAGCCACAGTCAGCTAACACGCGCATATTTCGCTCGTAACATTCGGGCAAGAAGTGATCGGAACAGATCAATATCCTGGCAGTTGGCGACAAGGACTTCTCGGGGTCCCATAGGTACAGGGCGTCCGTCCAAAGTTTCCGCCGTTCAATGTCGCCAGGAAACCTGTGGAAGAGAGGACTCCTGGGCTGTTTAGCTGGTAGTTCGGGCAGCCAGCAACACAACAACGTGAGTCTCTGCCTTTGCGCTTTCTGCCAGCCATTGCAAAGGCACACCAGGAACAAATCTACGCGCCTCTTGCCTAAATAAAACACGAAGCAACGAAAGATGAACACGGCACAACCAGCACAACAGCAAAGACGCAACCGGAGCCTCCGCGTTCGCTCGCAGATCACGTGGACACCGCCTCCGAGGTAGAGTAGGCGGAGTCACAACAGTTGGTTGAGTCAGAGGGCAGAGTGACCGCCGGAGGCGGCGAGCGTGGCGCCGCCTGTGGGATGTGTACCTCGAAACGAAAAAACGAAGAAAACACCTGCGCATGCTATAGACGTCACTGACGGTGGAAGCGGCGGAAGCAGATCGGCGGAAGTGCAGTGTTGGCTGCGCCGCACGTTCCAGCTATAGCTAGCCGATATTGTTACTTTCGCGCTTTTACAACTTTTTTAGACGGAATTCAATTCCAATATTTGACGTGTAGCCTTTCTAGATTATACTGAATAGAATTACATTGTTTTTCAGTAGAAAAAATTGAGCGGAGTTGCCCTTTAAAGGCGACCTCAAGGACGACGTCTAGGACAACCTCAAGGACGACCTCTAGCACGACGCCTAGAGAAATTCAGCCTTTCCACTCTGGTGAGAAACAGAGTGGAAAAGCTGGAAAGGTTGCCGCCATGTATGAACGACGGTGGCAACCAGACAACCGGTTTGCCTGTTGTCTGGTTGCAGCCGTCGTTGTCGCCGTTGGCGTCGCTCATAGGTGGCGGTAGCTGTCCAGAGTTTTGTGTCGAGATTTATTTGTCCACGGACACAAAACGGGAAACTAGCCCTTAACTCCGCTGCATAAAAAAAAAAAAATTGTAGGTTAACGAAAACATAGTTAGAACGCAGGCGAGCTGGTGTAAGTTGAACATGATTGTAAACCTGAGACTGGGGTAGAAAAGGGAACAGAACAGAAGGTAGAAAAAGAGGAGCCGAGACGTGGCTCCTCTTTTTCTACCTTCTGTTCTGTTCTCTTTTCTACCCCAGTTTCAGGTTTACAATCATATTAATTTGTAGGTGTTGTTAAGGTTGCTAAAACGAGGGTGTTGTCTAGAGTGCTATAAAAGCCCCGGGACACGCTCATTTACACCCTCGAGGGTGAAAAGCTTTTGCTGGTCCAAGGAAAACAACCAAATTAGGCACTTTTCAAGAGTGCGCGCCCCCTAGTATTCGCTGCGCCAATTTTCCGAGTCTGGCATTGTTCGGGCACGTACCCTGGACATGTGTTGGGCACGTGGGCTGCGTTAGCATGCAGCGTGAACCTTCACTCGCCTAGTGCTCAAGAAATGACGACTGCCAGTCTTTCTCGATGGGGTTTCGAAAAAGAGAGACTGAAACGTAGCGTACCCGAGCGCGGTGCGTGCCTTGCGTGCCCGTACCATCCACGAGGCGGTGGCGGCGAGCGCGGCTGCGGCGACGGCGGCACAGGCACAACCCGCGGCCACCACCAGGGGCCGCGGAGCGGCGGACACCGACGGGCCCGAGGGCGCGGCCACGTCCCTGCGCCAGGGCTCACTCCGGGCGCAGATCTTCTTGCGGGGGACGGACACCGACGTGGCGTTGTTCTCCTGCGCACGAAGGACACACGTGTAAAGGGCCCTCCAAACAGGACACAGCAGATGCCGTGCACGACATTTGCTGTGTCAGAAGTGGAGGGTTTCCCCTAATTCCGGTCTGATTTAGTACGTGTTTTTTTTTTTTCTTGCGGGAGACAAAGCTATTTCTTGCTGGCGTCCTTGGAACGAGCTATTACGTAAGTTCGGACAGTCACTCACACGTTCTGTGGCCCGGCTTTCCGGAAACAAGAAAGGGGAGAAGACGACAGCCAGGAGAACGAGAGCGGCGCTATTTGAGTGGTATACATCCTCACTAATAAAAACGTGCGCGAGCGCAGGAACGTGCGCTTTTCAAAAAACGCGCTTTTTTAACTTTTAAAATTGTGTTTGTGTTGTGCATAACATTTACTGTGCACATGTACCATTTGCTAAACCGCAAGCGGAAGTTTTCCCTTCTCTTTCGGTCTGTTTTGGGACGTGTTTCCCCGGGGGGGGGGGGGGGGGGGGGGGGGGGGGGGGGGGGGAAGTTACTTTCCGCCACGACCGGCTTGCGTCTTTAGACGAAACCTCGCAGCGTGCTTATGACGTGGGTCTGGACGTAACCGCTCAGACGCTCTGCTGGCTGTCCGTCAAGGTCTCCGCTGTTGTTGTCAGTCCCCCAACCTCCCGAAAACAAGACAGGGGGGAGTCAAGTTTACAACACGTAAAACTGTCCAAACAAGACACACACACACACAAAAAAGCGTGCCCGCTTTTAAAAGAACGTGAACGTTTCGACGCGCGTGTACGTTTTCAGCGAGGGCATTTAACCACGCAAGCAGAACGGCTTTCCTCCTCGCCTCTTAACCGTTCTGCTTGCGTGGTTAAATGCCCTCGCTGAAAACGTACACGCGCGTCGAAACGTTCACGTTCTTCTAAAAGCGGGCACGCTTTTTTGTGTGTGTGTGTTTCTTGTTTGGACAGTTTTACGTGTCCGCCAACAAAACAGGCGGCACGTATCTGTTATAAACCTCCTTCGATTATGCATACATGGGGTAAGGGCGTGAGGCGCCCAAACAAATGTTATACGATATAGTGGCATCTGAACGGCAAATACAGTTATCAAGGGCTACAACAAAAGCCTTGAATTGGTCGCTGGAGGCCCGTCCGCGGGAAGTGGACGGATAGATCAGAAAATTATATAAATTGATTTTAAATATAACAAAAAGACTTCATTGACGTTAACGAAAAAAAATATCTAGAATTTCTCCAGCAGTTCCCAAGCAGTAAAAGAAAAAAAGAAGAAAAAGAACGTTTGCGCAGTTAGAAGGCGGCGCAAGATGTTACCGCATTTCAACGGCAATCGGAGCACGACGATTTCGGCAACAATTCCTTACTATAAAAAACGCCGATTAGTTGCGCAACGTTAAAACTAAATGCAGAAAACAAAACTAGCTCTAAGCTATCGTCTCCTCTGGTTTCCGGCTTTGAGTTTTGCGACGATTCAACTGGTTACGACTGGTCCAACGAGTCCGTTGCTTCCACCGCGCTGGCAGCTTAGCGGTGGACACAGTATAGTGGTTCGAAACAGACGACAAAGTTTAAGAAGTAACCCTTATATTTGTCATCGCAAAGGGCAATTTTATATCGCAACTGAAACTGTATTACACATTTATCCCAACGTGTAACTTGCATGCTTTAGCTTTCAAGAACACGAACCACAGACAAGAGTCAAACTCGCAACTGTAAGTTTGTTTCAAGCTTTCTCGGAGTTCAACCTCCCAGCTAAGGTTCTGAATGAATGGATGGATGCTAATGGCTATACCCCTTATAACGGGTCGTAGCTTGCGCCACCTGGCTTCTGCCAACTTTCGGCTCTAACTTTGTGCTTGACAAGTCCAGAGCCCCTGGAAGTTTGTTAAGCGTTCAAACTCTCGACACAACTTTCGGTACTGGGTTCAGTATTACGCTGCATTTACGCAGCTTTTTTCCTCGGTCTCCTTCCATCATGAGTGTGATGGAGAAATAAACATTCATTATTTATTTCTTTATTATTTATTGTTTACTGCAAGTTACAACTCACAATTGAAACTCTATTACGTGCTTCAACCTCTGATGAACATTCAGCCGTGAGCTGTCTCCTGTTCATGTGTCGTGTCCGACACACAGCCAAGCTGTTCTCGCCCTTTTCGTGCCGTTTTTTTTATGAGTTGTTTTTCTTTCGTGAAGCATGGGGCTAAAGTATCAAAGTGCCCCTGTCAGCTTAGGGGATTGTGACGAGATGTCACGTGACCTGGCGTCGCGCCACGGGGTCACACGACGCAACGTCAAGTTTACACCACGACTCGGCACTCAACGTGACCTGGCAACGTCGTTGACCGTCGTATGTCCTGTTGTCACGCGTTGGGTGCCAAGTCGTGGTATAAACGCGACGTCACACGACGCGGAGTCACGTCAGGTTCCGTGACGTCAGGTTCCGCACTCTTAATTTGACAGTACACGGTGGAAGCTACTCGTTTGCCGTACCAATCAACCACCTCCCTTTCATCACCTGATCGCGCTCTCTGTGCATCGGTATGGGCAGGGGCGTGATTACATGGTAAAAAAAAAAATTACGTTTTCAGCGTCGCCTAAAGCAGGCCAACATAGAGCAGACGCGAGTGCTGCATCAGTGTAAGACTGGCACTCGTGGTTTGACTGATTTAACACCAGTCTCAGCCGAACGCTCCTGTTCAACTTATGCCCTGCGTTATCCTCCTTAGGTGGCGGCGAAAATTCAGCACCGCGTCTCTGTCACCCGGAAGGCATTGTCCTACCACAACTTGACACCGGGACGTCACTTGACAGAATGGCGTTACCTAAGAATACGTTGTCACGCTTTCCAGGATTGAGTATACATGTAATAAAATCAAAGAAGCTCCTTGTGTTTTATTTTTTGACGATGACCAACGTTGTTTACAAACAAGCTTGCGTTTGGTCAAACCGGCTGATTTGTTTGGAAACGGCGCCAGCGTGTTGGTCTATGGAGTCATTGGTCTCTTCGCGTAGCCATGGCCCAGTAAAGGCTTACCTGAGAGACGTTGAGCACGATTCGGACGGGCACCTCTGCGCTGGCCTGGCCCGTGCAGGGCAGGCGCACCCTGAACGCGCGAGGCGCCGACGGGAGCGTGCCCGTGGGGTCCACGTCCAGCGACGGCCTGGCCAGGGCGCCGTGGCCCTTGCCCTCGGCCACCTGCACGTCCAGCGCATAGGCCAGCGGCACGGGCCCCAGGCCCTGCCAGACGAATTCCAGCTCGGACACGTTGGCCGGCACCGGGACGACGAAGCCCAGGGCGTACTCGTTGCGGCGCCCCTCCTTCACGTAGTACAGCTCCACGTCCAACCCTGCACGGGCAACACAGGTGGAACAAGAGCTCTTGGCGCGCTCAAAGTACAAAAGGTGCCGAGGCAAACACGACACAGCAAATGCCGTGCACGTCATCTGCTGTGTCCCGTTTGGACAGCCCTCGACACGGGCGTCATTCTGCGGAGGAGAACAACGCCACGTCGATGTCCGTCACCTCCAAACTTCATCACTATAATTAGTGTTAATTAAGATATCTTGGCGAACTGTGGACGCTGCGGCCCTCGCGACCCAATAAGGGTGTCGGAGCAAGGCACGGGTCAACACCGTGGTCGAGGCCACGGAGGCCTCGTTACCATCACAGCAAAAGCGCCGTTCGCGACAAAAAAAAAAAAAAAAATTCATACGCCTATTTTTTTGTTTTGTTTAAACGGCGATTGAACTCGCACACTTGCATCTCTAGCAACACTACGTTAAACAACCCGGAAGAAACACGAAGACATGCTACTTTTCAACGATACTTAATTCAGATCGAGCCTTTTCCAAGAACAGCTTGCCTTTTGAACGAGGTTTGAACGCTCGCAGTCCTGTAATCGACCACTTCCGCTCAAAATGTCCTCCTGGCATTAACCCCCGCCAGAGATTGGCGGGTACACTGAGCATATGGTTGTTTCAGGAACTGTTCCAGAAAAGATTGCACTCTAGCAGACGGCATGGTTGCGGCGGTGAACGTTCGTCCGTAGTTGGTTGGCTTCGCAGCAGACGACGCCAACAAGAGTGAACGGCCTGCATTTTTAAGGTTTTGATGAAAATGCAATAAATTCAATAGACTGGAGCAATAACTGAAATAGTCTAGTGGCTAAAGATAAAACCCGTTTGCTCTACTCACGTCTGGCTCCTGGTTAGCTCAGTTGGTAGAGCGCTCCACTGGAAATGGAGAGGCACTTGGTTTGATCCTAGGCCCAGGCGGATCTTTTCGATCGCGCACCAGTTACATATAGCTGTTACATATAGCTGTGTTTGTAGATTTCTGTTTGTTCTTTGTCCCCCTTCTCCAGGAATGGTTATCGTCATTCTTGTCCAGCTCGTTTGCACCTTTGCATTTATTGCATTATCATGAAAAGAACTCAAGCCCTACATTGTGCACATTGAAGTCAGGGTACGGGTGTGCACCTAAATAATATGTGCTGCAGGTTTATGCCACAGTGTTCTGTGTTATGTGTGCGGTTTCTCGAGTATTCTGATGGAGATACGGCATTGAAGTCGACATGCGGTGTGAGTGGTGCGTGTCACATTGTCGGGAGAGCTACAAAACGGCATGTGAAATGCAGTATTTACAACTCTTCTATAGTGCTGAATACAAGTCACGGGAATAAAAATTTTCCAACTACTTACATTTAGGCTGAAAACCTATTTATCAAATTCTGATGCTATCCAGGATCAGTTTGTTGAAGGTTTGTCAGGTAACACTGGAGTACTATTTTTTTTTTTTTTTTTTTACCTGGAGGTTAGATAGATTTTTTTCCAGAGTTTTAAAAGAACACTGCGGTACGCATAAGAAACTAGATTAGGGTTTTGTAATTGCTGCCAAGCACGAATATTTTGATGTCACGCAACTAATATATGGAAGCAGGCAGAAGCAAAACAACATGCTGCACCAAACTAGTTACAACTCAGTTCTTATGACTACATTACTAGCTAGTTAGAAATCTTCACTATATTTCGCAAGCATGTGATGAAGCACACTAGCTTTCTCCTATTAAAGCTTGTGTTGCAGTGTAAGGTAGTTGGCTAATAAGTTACTGGAATATAAAGGATAAGATCTTAGAGACATTCTAGCTGAGAAGTATCATGCAGTCTTTCTCAGATAATGTTCATTGCTTTATAAACATTCAAAATGTTTAGCATTTGGTGGTAAACGTTTTGCATTTACGCATACAAAAACAAAACAAAAAAACAATCAGACCACTGCGTCTTTAGTTATAACTTCTGACTTTTCGTAGTAATTACTTTTCGTATAGTAATACATATTTCAGAAATAATTACACCACTCAGAATATTGCTCATTATAAACAAATACAGCATTCTTCCATTTAATGTCGAACATTCGACGCCGCAATGCTTTTCCCGAGTAATAGAATCTGCTTCCGAGCTTAAATTATGAGTGCAGTGGCACTTTAGCTAATTAAACGCGCTTGTGTGACTAAAAACGAGCAACTGCGACGGTCGATCTGCGTGCGTCGCTTTCGTTTCGGCGCTTCGACGCCCGGCCCCGATGGCCTTGCTTTGCGACGTCAAGAGGAGAGCGCTACGGCCTTTTGCCTTTGTTGCCCCGGGCCTCGCATTTGGCGCAGTGACGACACAAAACGCTCCCGTGATGTGAGGTCCCGCGCCTCGCTCCGACGCTCTTATTGCGTCGAGGGGGCCTTAGCCTCCACAGCTCGCCAAGTCATCCTGAAGCGGAGTATATAGCGGATCTAGAGTCACTGGTGACTTTAATGCGGATCCAGGAAGCGCCGCCTAGCTTGCATCGGCATCGCCGCCAGCTCGTCTCGCAGTGCCTTTATCGTTGTTTGGGGCGGGTCGGGGATCCACCGATGATGACGTCACGCGCAGGCCTTGTCTTCTAGGTGCTATGGGTCATAGTCACGGGAAGAGTGGGAACGACAGCGCGTGTCTTTCGAACGCCCGGCCTCCAACACGCGAAACACACCAACGCTTGCACGAGACGCCCAAGCGTTGGCGAAGGCACAAACTCGCGCTGGGGGAGGGCAAAACTGAGGCTTCTCCCAGCCGTTCTCACCATGTTAGCGACTATGCGCGCCGAGAAAGTGGGGGAGAGGAGGAGGCATGGGGAGCGCGTGGGGACGTCAGAAACGCCGGCCTCTAGTTCAAGTGGTTAGTGGGTAGACCTGCAGCTAGAGCTGCCTCTACTGCACTCGTCGAACGCGTTAGAACTAGGGATGTCGCGAACCACCCTAGGTTCGATTTCGAAAGGTTTCGACATTTGCGAAGCGAACTGAGGTTCGATTTCGAAAAATTTCGATATTTTCGTACCGACCGAGGTTCGATTTCGAAAAATTCGCAACTTTTGACCACAGCGGAGTTTCGAATTCGAAAATTTCGAAGCTTTCACGGTTTCCAAAATTTCGAATTCGAATATTTCGAATATTTTTTTACTTCAGGTTCGATAAATTCGAAGATCTCGAAATTCTTTGTAAAAAAAATTCGAAAACTTCGAACGCTTCGAATTTTTATAGACATGAAGTTCGAACAATTCGAAGATTTCGAATTTCTTTTTGCATACAGTTCGAAAAGTTCGAAGGTTTCGATTCTCTTTTAACGCTAAATTAAAAAAAAAAAAAAAAAAAACTTCGAAGATTTTGAATTTTTTTTCTAATCCAAGTTTTCAAAGTTCGAAGTCCGATTTTCAAGTTTTTCCACAGTTTCAGTTTCAAATAACGTTTTCACGACTCACTGGTTTTCACGAAATCAAGTTTAGAAAAGTTAGGGTGTGATATCTAGATTCTGCGAAGTTGGTCAGGCAATTAAAGGGGGACGACGAGTGTCCCGGATGTGCTAGAAAATTTGCCAGTGCAGAATTGTGACCGCCAGCCCCGAAGGGGGGGGGGGGGGGGGGGGTCTTTAACCTGCATCACGCAGTAGTGATTGCACGAACACACTGTTTTACGAGACTCATCCAGTTCGAAACGGCCAGGGGCGAGCGGGAGGTTGAGGCTCAGATAAACCTTGAAGCGACCTGGCAAACTAGCTCGCCACCCCTTGCACGCTGGTAGTAATCCGATCCGGTGAAGTTTATAATTGTCCTGGAGGTTTATTTTCTGGGACGGAGGAATCGCCTCGCAAAAAGCACAAAAGCCGACTTAACTCGAGGTCGAGGAGTGTTCTACCATACAAGTGGCGTCGGAAGAGGAAAAACGGGGGAAAGAAGGTAGCGGAGAGGGGGGGGGGGGGGGGGGGGGGGGGGCTTTAGCCTCCTTTTCCTCCTTGCAGGTATTTCGAACTGTTAAAGAAAACAATACGGGGAAAGAGGGCGTGGTCGAGCTTATTTTAATCTGAAATTATTTATGCATATGTATAGCTACTGTCGCTCTTCACTGCATAAAAGATTGCGTAGATGGTCATTGTAGTGGTTCGGAAGTTCAAAGCTGTCTTTTCGACCTAAACACCTGTGCCGATAGTAACAAAAAAAAAAAAAAAAGAATAAATGCGGGAATAAAAAGCAGGAGAAAAAAAAAGACTATCAAGAATTTGTCGGAAGTGTTCTTCTATTCTTGCATATTCAGAGGTTCAGAACTTCGAAACAAGTTTCTTTTACCAAAATGTGTACAGGCTGAAAGAAACACGTCCCAGGAACGTGAAGCGAAAAAAAAAAAAAAAAAAGGTTTTCTTTTAATGACGTGCTGAACTTGAACACTATTAGAAATCTTCTCCCATGAGTTAATTTATTCCTTAACGTGAAAAAACAATAAATATATTATTTCGTATTCTGCAGATGGCAATGATATGTACTGTCTGTGGTGTTAATTTAAATGCGATACCTCAAACAACTTAGACGAAAATAAATATCAAGTTTAGGTTATAATTGTATGCAGATACATGTTTGGACATTTCTTCGAAACTCACGTTGAATAACAATAATCACATCTTAAGACGACACTTACCTAGGCTATACATAGATCATTCTTAAAAAAGTATAACATCTCTACCATAAATAGTTCCGGCTGCAGCGTGCTTCAAATCTGGCACAAACGATAATCGTCAAAAACCCGTCGTCCTTCCTCGCCCCTTCGGGGATTTATTTCTTTAAACCTAAGCATGCCAGAACATTGAAATAAACGACATTGTCTTTCGTAAGGAACGCAGCACCGCGTGTAAAAGTTCGAGAAAAAAAATTACGAATGTACCCCACTACTTGAAATCAAATGAAACCGTCCGCCGGTCTTTCGAAGTTCGGCGAACGTCGAACTTTTACCCTAAAAGTTCGAAGTTCGTCGAACTTCTGACTTTTCAGAATCCG